TGTTCTCCTATGATTTAGGCTCTTCCTAATTCTCCCGGCTCCTGTTCTCCTATTATTTACGCTCTTCCTAATTCTCCCGGCTCCTGTTCTCCTATGATTTAGGCTCTTCCTAATTCTCCTGGCTCCTGTTCTCCTATGATTTAGGCTCTTCCTAATTCTCCCGGCTCCTGTTCTCCTATTATTTAAGCTCTTCCTAATTCTCCCGGCTCCTGTTCTCCTATGATTTAGGCTCTTCCTAATTCTCCTGGCTCCTGTTCTCCTATGATTTAGGCTCTTCCTAATTCTCCCGGCTCCACTTCTCATATGGTTTAAGCACTTCCTAATTCTCCCGGCTCCTGTTCTCCTGTGGTTTAGGCTCTTTCTAATTCTTTGTTCCTCGGTTTTTTCGCCCGTCCCCTTTCCTCCCCAAAGTGTTGAATTTCTTTCTGGACAATCGGTGGGGCTTCAACCGAGAGCGCCTGGCCATCAGCAAGGACCAGCGAGCGGTCCGCAGCGTCCCCGGCCTTCCCATGCTGTTTGCCGCCGAGCGTTTGATGACCAGCTGCCACCTTTCCGTGGATCTGGTGATCGGCGACGTGGCGGTCACCCAAGGACGCAGCTACTGGGCCTGTTGCGTGGATCCCAGCTCCTACCTGGTCAAGGTGGGCGTGGGGCTGGAGAGCAAGCTGCAGGAATGGTTCCAGGTGCCCCAAGACGTGGTGAGCCCCAGGTGAGCAAACGCTTGGAACAACGGAGAAGGAATTCAGTTTAGAACTTGTTCAAGTCACATCTCCGAAGATCTAGAATGGTGTTTCTCCAACTCGGCAACTTTTAAGACAGGTGGACTTCACTTCCCAGAATCCCCAGCCAGCTTAAAATGGCTAATTTACAGAAAACTTTAATCCAGAAAGTGTAGAGTTAAGGTACCACATTTTGGGTGGAAAATTAAACAGGTGGGTCGTCGTGAAAGAGATGAGACTAAAAATTGGGGGCTCCTTTTGCAAAGTGGGGTTTAAAGGGAGTTTATTGAGGTAACATTTTACCCCAAAGGTGAGGGACGGCCAGTTCCTCTGAACACCGGCATTTTCGGAGTGGCATCTCCAGGCCCCATTGAAATTTGGAGAGAGAATGGTGATCCACGTGTAGCCCCCAACTTACAACAATTCATTTAGTGACCATTTGGACTGAAAAAGCGGCTGTTTGTCACACTTACAACCGTTGTGGTCACGGGATCAAAATTTAGACACTTGGAAACTGGCATGTACTTAGGACGGTTGCAGACTCCCTGGGGTCAGGTGATCCCTTTTTGCGGCCTTCTGACAAGCAAAATCAATGGGGAAGCCAGTTTCACCTCATAACCGTGTTACTAACTGAGAAGCTGCAGCGATGCAACTTAATAACCATGGCAAGCGAGGTCGTAAAATGGGTCAGGCCTCGCTTAACAACGGCCTCATTTAGCGAGAGAAAGCTTGGGCTCGTAAGTCAAGGACTAACTAACCCGTAATTGGTTTTACTCTTTTTGGGGGGGGGGGGGCTGTCAAAATTCACGGAGGTTTTGCTGTCCTTCCAAGAATCTCTCTTCTACCTGTATTTGTTGTTGTTGTTGTTTTCCCGGCTAAGGTACGACCCGGATAGCGGCCACGACAGCGGGGCTGAAGACACCACGCTGGAGTCCTCGCCGCCCTTCGCCTTCCTGACCATCGGCATGGGCAAGATCCTCCTCTCCCACGGGGTGTCGCTGACCTCCCGGGATCCCGGCAACTCCACCGTGCCGTTGCCTCCTCGCGTCGGCATCTGTCTCGACTACGAGCACAGCAAAGTGGCGTTCTTCGACGCCGTCTCCTTCCGCAGCCTTTGGGAGTGTGGGGTAGACTGCTCGGGTCCCGTCTGCCCGGCCTTCTGCTTCATCGGGGGCGGCGCCTTGCACCTTCAAGAGCTGGTGGTCAACCGTCAGGAACGGAAAGTCACCATCAGCGGCTTCTCCAAGCTGGACTGAGCTTGCCGTCGGCCGATTCTGAGCATGTTCGGGGAGAGGATCAACCAACAGAGGGGCCTTGGGGGGGGTGTGCTTCAGAAGGGTGGTCCAGATAGCCTCTCCAACCCCTGCTTGCGGGAAAAAAAATGAAAAAATATCTCTAGCGATGGGGTGAACGAGCAGAGAGGGTTTCGGCGATAGGAACAGGGCAGAGCATCTGTTGAGCAATGCTGCCCTCTAGTGGATAGGCGAACGTCCAACAGATAAGAGTTTCATTCTGATGGTGGGGGTGCCCTTTTCCCGGCCAGCACCCCCTTTAAAAAAAAACCCACCCCAGCTGTGGGGATTGACAGCAGTTTCCACCCCACAGAGGGGAATTTTTAAAAATATTAAAATATCCATCTCTTTGTTTTCTTCTTCTCTTCTTCAGTGTACCCCCTAAACTTCCGGGGGAAATCCAGATTTCCCCCCTCCTCCTTTTGCCCCTGTCCGGGGCAGGAATCTCAGTTGAGAAAAGACAAATACGACATCCCCCCCACCCCCAAATTCTTGTTTGGAGCATGGCTGAGTTTGGAATAGCGTCTAATGCCTTTCCACCCTTTTGTGATTGAAAAAGATAAAAAAAAGATTGTAAAACGCCATCTTGAATGTCTCCTGACCTCTGTCTCTTGACCCGTAGGAGAGTCGGTCCCGGCTGTACTTCTGATGTAGTCATAATTTTAAATTAATCTCTTTTCTTTTCTTTTTTTAAAGTCCCTCGTCACGCTCCTCAAATTCACCGCTCCTGTGTGAATCGCTCCTCCGTAACTCGTTTCCTAATTTTGGCATTTTGCTTTTTAGGCTGTTCAAACGGGAGATTCTGACATGTTATTAGAGTTGGTTTTTTTTTTTCAATAGAACTGGGCCAAAATATACAGATAGTCCTCGACTTAACGGCCGCAACGGAGCCCCAAATTTACGTTGCTAAACGAGACATCGGGCAAGTCAATTTTGCCCTGTTGGATAACCTTTTTGTTGTTAAATGAATCTGCAGGGGTTTTTTTAAGTTAGTAACGTTGTTAAGTTAATCTGGCTTCCCCGTTGATTTTGCTTAAGGTCATAAAAGGGGATCACTTAACGGTGGGACACCAACCGTCATAAGTACGAGTCAGTTGCCAAGCCTCTGAATTTTGATCTCGTGACCACGAGGATGCTGCGACGGTAGTAGGGTGAAAAATTGTTGTAATTTTGGTCACTAAATGAACCGTTATTGTATCATCCCTCAGATGACGCCACGTTTTAAAAATTTCCTAGGGTTTTCGCGCCAGAATTGAGAATAGAATAATATAAGAGAGTTGGAAGGGACTTTGAAGGTCATCTAGCCCAACCCCCTGTTCTGGCAGGAGACCCTATCCCATTCCAGACAAATGGCTGTCCAGCCTCTTCTTAAAAACCTCCGGTGTTGGAGCATTCACAACTTCTGGTGGCAAGCTGTTCCACTGGTTAATTATTCTCACTGTTGGGAAATCTCTTCTTAGTTCCAGGTTGCTTCTTTGGGATCCACCGGATCCCCAGCGCGAAGCTATCGCTGAGACTTGCAAATTGTTTCCAAGCAGGTTTAAATTCATCTTATCCATGGCACGAACTCCCTATTTCCTTAACCCGGAATCAAAACTTCCCTTTTCTTTCTTAAAACAATGCTAGATTCTCTTTCCCAAATCTTCCTTCTCGTACAACTAAACACAACAGTCTTTGTTGTGTGTCGCTTCTTGGTTTCTTGTACGGCGAAGCTAGTTTGACATCCTGAATTTCAGGTTTAGTTCGGAATCCGTTTGATCTTCCACTGTAACAAAGCAGGAGGAAAAAATTGGCTTTCCCACCCCCCAAAAAAACAAGGATTCCCTTGGATAATTTTTCGTCTCCTGCCGTTGCCCGTTGTAAAATGCAAAAATAAAAATAAAAAAATAAAAATCAACCCTAATGGAAAATATTGGCTTCCTCCTCGGGAAGCCGCTCCTGATGCGAATCCTGAAATGTTTTCAGGCCAGATCGCGCAGGGCAAATTCTGCCACAGACTTACGACGGTCTTTTAACGACCTTCAAAGATATGACGGCGCTGAAAAACGGACGCACAGCCGTCCTCGCGTTTGCAACCGTCGCAGTGTCCCCCGGGATTATGTGATAAAAATTTGGGTGCCTGCATTTACAGTGGTTGCGGGTCCCCGGGATCGTGTGATTCCCATCGGCGACCTTCCCAAGTGGCTTCCAATAACCCAGATCCATGGGGGAACCTGGTTTCGCTTAAGGACAACACTGACTTGCTTAACGACCCAGCCCCCCCCCCCAAAAAAGATACGATTCATAACAACCATGATTCCGGTTGCAATTATGGCTGTAAATCAAGGACTATCTGTTATTTGATATTGATCAATCCTTCCCAATTCCTAGACAGCCTGAATGGAAGTTCAACAGGTGCAGAGCAGATGATGGCTTAAACACACAGGGGCGGTGATGTGATTGTGTTTCTGAAAAAGAGGCTGTTTTGTAAGTGTTGAGGTGTTTGTGAAAATATGGTGCCCTGGTAGAATATATCCCTTACACACACACCCTTTAACCCTGTTTTCAACAAAGTTCTTTCTTGGGCCCGGATTTTTATTTGCTTCTTTTGTCTCGGTTCTTCCCAGCGTGCGACGAGAGCAATGCTGGATTGTGTGTCAGTGTTGTGGTCACGAAAAGAAAGGGGGGGGGGTAAGGAAATAAACACTTAACAATGGCAAATTTTAGGGGGCTTGTCGGCGGTCCGTGAAATCGCCCGCGATCTTTCTCAGACCCCGAGGCAGCTTTTGGCGCGGAAACTGGGCAAAACAGCCTCCTCCGCCAAGGACGGCTTGTGAGTTGCGAGTTCGAAATCCAACAACACAATGACAAATCCCTCTAGGTTGGCTCAGAAGAGCCTTCGCCAAATTGGGCTGGGTGGATTATCGCTCCATCCTCCCGCCCCCCCCCCGCCCCAATGTTTCTTTTAATTTATTTTAATTAGCCCCCTCCTGCACTTTGGAGTCCACCCTGAGGACTAGAATCTTGCTTTTTCAAGGAGAGAAACCACACCATCACGTAGAGCTGGCTCGCAACTCTTGTGCAGTCCCTGACCTAGGTTGGAAACGGACCTAGGGGATGGACAGAGAGTCTGATGGGGTAGGAACCTTGCGACATCCCCCCTCCTTTTTCCATGTCTTTGGCCAGATTGTTAACTTAAAAAAATAAATGAATGAATAAAGTTTTAAACTGTTGGGCTTTGATTGAGGTTTTTAAAGGCTTGAACAGAGGTGTTGTTCCAATCTAAGCCAGTAGAGGGCGCCTTGACCCTAAGATTCTACAGAATAAATTCTCTTTTCTTTTTTTTTTTCTCCTCTTTAAGAAATTTGAGTTTTGCTCCAGGAAAAGATTTGTGATTTCGCTTTTTGGGGTTCTTTAAGGCTTCTGTCTCTTTCTGTGTCTTGCTTAAAGCTGTTTGTTGCTGTGCACAGCCATTCAAAGCCACTGGAGCCCCCTCCAGGGACTTGTAGGTCATCTAAAGTTACTGTTGTGTCTCTGGCGTTCCTCTGGGTAATGTCTATTTGTCATACAAATTAATAAGGGAAAATGTTCTTTTTCACTGGGGGAGGGGGCAATAGCCCCAAACAACTGGGTTTGGAGAAGGGAGGGACCAACCAGTAGCTGCTGCAATCCTGGGAAGAATTAAATTTGCAAAGTGGAGTCCTTCGTTCATTCAAATAGCTTTATGTCCTGTCTATAGATGGACTTCAAATCCCAGAATTCCCCTGCCAACATAGATGGACAAAGTCCCAGAATTCCCCACCAACATGGATGGACTTCAGCTCCCAGAATTCCCCACCAACATGAGTGGACCCAAAGGTGCTTTTTCGAGAGCCCACTGGACTCCACAGACGTTCGAGAAGAGTGGACTTCAATTCCCAGAATTCCCCAGCCAGCATGGGTGAATTTCAACTCCCAGAATTCCCTGGCCAAGCATGGATGGACTTCAGTTCCCAGAAGTCACCGTCAACCAGCTCCTGGGTTCGAAAGAGAGCTCCTATCCTGATTTTAAACCTTTGTGGAATGTGAGATGGGCGGCGTAAATACAATAAATCAAGAATAATCTCAGGACAAGCAGGAGATGTTCTTTGCAGGCGGATCTCCACCTCGGATCTGTTTGCCACCCCCTCCGCGGGGAATGTCAAGCCGGGCGCCGTCGGTCTCCGGATCGGAGACAAAATACGCCTTTTGGCTGGACGAGAGAGGCTTCCGCTCGGTTCTTCGGCTTCTGCTCTGCTGGCACATGAGGTCATGCCTGCCAGGACAGTGTGTGACCGCTTTGGGCAAAGCAAGGGAGGGTTGGGATCCTGCCAGCTGCCCTGGTTTGGCCTGGCTTTGGGCCCAAAGCTGCCGGGAAGCCTCCCTCTCTGGATCGCCTTTGGCCCAGAGGGCACGGCGGGGTGGTGGGCTTTCTCTCTCTCTCTATCTCTCTCTCTCTCCCACCGCCTTTTGCTAAGCAGCAAAGGTTTGGCCAGAAAGAGAGAGAGAAAAAAAAGAGGAGGAAATTGAATGGTGCCTTGTTTCCTTGTACACACACACACACACACACACACACACAAGACACTTTTTCTGCAGCCAGACCTTTCCCTAACACTGCCCAAAGTGTAGATATCTACCCAAACTAGGTAAAGGGGTGACTTTACCTCGTTTGGATAATGAAACATCTGCAAGGAATCCACCAAGCCCCTTCCTTCCTCTTCTTCTCCCTCTCCCTCCTCCTCCTCCTCCTCCTCCTCTCCACAATCCCCATTCCCTTCTAGCACTGATCTTCTTCTTCTTCTTCTTCTTCTTCTTCTTCTTCTTCTTCTTCTTCTTCTTCTTCTTCTTCTTCTTCTTCTTCTTCTTCTTCTT